CCCCAAAACCCCAAAACCCCAAAACCCCTAACTTCTGGGGCTAAATTGAATTTAGTAGAACTCATTTAAAAAAATGCTCTTTAGCCTGATTCATATAATCTATGAGTTACAGTCATGGGCCTGGGAGGCTATTTTCTACTTCTTAGTCATGAGTTTGAGGCAATATTCAATAACATTGTTCCTGTTTTGATATTCTCCTTTCTTATTTTCAAATCTGTTCTTGATTTCTTCAAGCTCCCAGAGAGGGATTCTTCTGAAAGCTCTGTAGTTAAGGAACATTATTTCACAATCTTGCTCTAAAGATGAAAAGATATTTACCCTTTGAGACAAAAATGTGGCCGTAGTAAGTCAAGTCAGGGATTCTGAAGATTTCTGATTCCCCAAAGAAGTCTCCTTTCACTAAAGTTTTGAGTGATACCATTTTTGAACAAGGGCTGGGTCGTGAGTTATTTGTGGAAGCTTTTTCATCTGTTAAGTTTTTAGAATTTGGCTTTTCTTGATATCATTTTGACCTATTAGTACTTAAAATTACAGGTTAAAAATAAAGAGTCAGTGTATTCTATCTGAAAATAATTTGCAAAATTGAAGATACATACGCCAAGGAAGCTAGGGAAAATTATTAACCTTTTGAATACTAAAGATCGAAGCCGTAAAAACTATGTTTCTATTTTGTAAGCTGGGTTTTTAACTATAAAGAATTACTTACTTTGCAATTAGTTCACAAGTGCCTGATAGAATTATGTAGATTCCACAAGGTTCAGCATCAAAATCCTCAAGTTCTGAGTCAGAATTAATTGGCTGAGGAAGATCTTTTGGAACAATATCTGCGATCTTTGTAGGTTCAGCCCTAGAAAGAAGCAGAAGTTAGGATTTTAGAGGGTTGATATAGTTGACTTACATTGCAATAAAGAAAGATGAAATCTGAGTGTGAAATTGAGAAAGCTCAGTATCCCATTTTCTGGTACCTAATCTTTTCCTAAATGGGTCAGATGGCGAATTACTTCTTAAATTCATCATAAAATATTTTGTAATGGTTATTAAACGTTGACTTTTTAGATTGAGGAAGAACGAGAGATCCTTTATTTGTATGTTTTAATTTCCATCCAATTGTAGAAATGGAATATTGTCAGTTCACAACAGTTTTTCAAAAGCTCATTTCACTTAAGATGGGGTTGAAGGACAAGTCTCTTATTTTGTCTGGTGATTGTACCAGATCTTTGAAAATGTTTCCTGATCAAATATCGCAGCAAGAGTAGTAGCTCGGGCTATAGCCCAGCTATCAAATTTTATGGATTGTGCTTCATATTTTGACCCAATGACATCTCCACGTTTGAGTAACGCCATTATTTTATTTGGAAATGTGCTGTGCTCAAATTCCTTTATGATAACATCTCCATAGATTATGATATACACGAGGTTATTTTCTGTGAAGATCACATCATTGTTGAAAATCTTTAGTTTCATCAAGTTTAGAATTGAAGAAGGTTGATCTTTCAAGATCTCTGGAAGAAGGTGTCGACATTCAGATGTCTCAAAGTTAATAGTCATATACTTCATTTCAATGCTATTTTCTTTATTTGTCTTCTTTTTATCAACAATCTCTGAAGGAGGTTTGTTTATATCTTGGGGATCTAAAATGTAATAAAACTTCACATTTTAACCAATCCTTACCAGTGACATAAAATTGGTTACATCAGGTTGTTCATCTTTGACAGTATAAAGCTCTAGGATATCTTTCAAGTTTTCAACAAAATGTGTGACATCTGATCTCTCTTCAAGTGTGGGAATCAGGAGGAGCCCAATTGTGTATTTCACAACTAGAGCTTTTTCTTTCATCGAGAGTTTTTGAGACAATTTATTATAAAGCTCATTTGCTTGTTGGAGATCTCCATTGATCTTCCTTCAGAGGGCTTCGAAGTATATCAAATTTGCTTGCTGTTCATCGTTAAGGGTTGTAGTCGATTCTTGGAAAGCGATTTTTGAGGTTTCGACGCATTCTATGAGATTATTAGGAAAAATTTGAACTATTTTTGTGGTGGTTGAGAATTTTGTTGGCTTTCCTAATGTATTTCATGCTTATGTTTAAGTCTCCGAGTCTAATTTTGGTTATGGTGAGGGCATAAATTGGATAGAGCTCATTTGGGCATATTTTATGAGCAGTTTGGAAGTATCTTAAAGCTGTTTGATTTTTATCAAGCAAACTTGCTCAGCAGCCGAGGTTGTGATAAGTCTGCCAATGGTTATCGTCAACCATTAGTCCTTGAATGTATGCGTCCATGGCAGGCTCGATTTCTTGTTTTTCTGATATTTGCTTTCCTATTTAATTTATTTAAGTTTAGAATGTGATTAGACCGAACATGGGTGACAAAAGTGCGAACCTCTTTTAAACCAGAACTGGATGCCTTTCTCCTCATTTTCATTTTCAGTGCCATCTGCTTCTATTTGGGGGATTTGGAAGTCAAGTTTTAATTGTTCAGCTTCTTCCTGTTTCTTAGGAGGCTCCTGGAGGATGCTTTGAAGGTTGGTTTTAGTCTTAGCTAATTTTTGAGCACCTAAAATTTGAAGCTAAAAATACTATTTCTAGAACGAAAAGCAGATATTCTAGATTTTATCAAATCTGGAGGCCTTTTAGGTATTTGAATGATGCTTCCAGATCTCTGAACGATGATGTTCTGATTTGTATTATCAGAATAAGCCGAAAATTTATTCCCATTTTTGGGGCCTCTGCCCATGCTATTGTAGGCTTGATTCCTGTTATCTATTTTCAAGGAGTTTCTTTTAGTATTCCAGTAGTTTCAAGGTCTAACTTTTTGGAGAGTGGCTACAAATTTCTTATACTCACTTACAATGAGTATTGGATAGTTGATCTGAGGAAACAACACTTGTATGGTGCTTTAACACTGAATTTGTGGTGCTTAAGTCGTGGTTTCTTGAAACTCTACCTGAAATCTCATCTATAAATGATATAAATTTTGAATGTTAAATCAAAATCTCAAGAAAAGTAATCTAAATTTCTGAGGTAAGACAAGGTAAATTTTACCTCTTTGTTTTGAGATGAGAGTACTTCTTGCTCTAGTAGAGAACTTTAAGCCTTTATGCCCTGCTGCAAAATGATTAATTATGTATTTTTATTGGAACATTAAGTGGTGAGGGCTTTCTCTTCTGTTCTCAAGCATTGGTTTTGTTTCCCTTTCAGGAGCTATTTTATGTCAGAAATATCAAATTATAACTAAGGAAAGTCGGACGCCTACTCTGAGCATGATTAAAGGTGATATCCAAGAATTCCTTAGCTTTAGTAAATATCTTCTTCTGTTTCCATTCTATAAAATAAAAACTAAGTCCTACTTCTGGTTGGTTTCTCATACTTTGTTGGCTGAATGGAGAAGGTTGAGTTAAACTTATCCTTATTGTTAATATTTCTCCTTAAAAAGCTTGTATTTCTCGGCTTAACCTTAAAATCTCTTGTAACTTTAAGGTCTCTGGTGCTATGCTGTGGGGTATCTCCATCTCCATCGCTATCTTCTATCTTAATAATCCTCTTGTTTATATCTTTAAACCCTCCTCTTTCCTTGAGTGCTAAAACGGATGAAAACTGGTAATTATTAAGATAAGTCAAAGCTTGGAGGGTGCAGGAGTAAGCTAGGCATACCTGTTGTGGCTATGTGGTTTCTTACAACCTTTAGGCATCTCTGTGCTCGTTGAATGCACTGAAGATACTATAAAAGAGGTCATATTTAAGAGACTATTCAGTTGTGTTTTAGTCTGATTTCTAGGGAAATTAAGGCATTTTTAAGAGAAGGAAATTTTGCTTTAGGGTTAAGATTTAGAGGTTTGGTTAGAGACCTACTTTGATAAATATTAGTGTGATTAGTCGGTTTTAGGACGAGTGAGTCTCTGTTGGGCCTCTAAATATTGTTTTAGAGTGAATAATGTTTTAGGGGTTAAAGAATTCTTTCGTTAATGTTTACCTTAGGGGCAGATCTCGTTCTTTCTAGAATTATAAAAGTTCTTTATTGCGAACATTTTTGGATTCTATTTTCAAACTTGGGTTCTTACTCTTGGAGGTATTTTGAAACGCAATAGTTGCGCGATTCTTTTTACTATATTATAGATTAGTTTAAAACAAAGTTATACAAGAAAGCAAGTTTCTTCTTATTTCTGGGTCATATCAAGATGAAGAGTAGAAATTGCTTTCTCATCATTAGCTTTATAAAGAATTGGCTTCCAATTCATAGCGTGATCAAGTTGTTTCTTTTGTCTTTCTCTTATGGCTTTATATTCTAGAATTGAATCAACAACATTGTATACTATTTTTCCTTGTTGATTCCGAAGATGTGTTGACTTCCTATTATGTTAGATTAGACTTTAGTGATATGCTTAAAGGTTTAAATATTGATCAAAATGCCAGCTTTAGACATTTATTACTTGTTAGAAAAATATCAAATTTGGCTTTGCTACGAATAAGTGATGCTATAAATTTCTTTAGCTTATTAGGGCTTATATTTATAAAGCAGCTCTTTAGATAACTCCCAATGATTTTGATAAAACCTAGATTATAAATTTAGAAGAAAATCTGATTAGACTGGTTACTACGATTGATCATCCTCCTGCTTACTTTTATTACTCTGCAACTTTCTTGGGCTAACTACAGCTTCTCTAATCTTTCTCATTTTATTTCTATAATGATCTAGAGATTCTTTTGTGACCACTCATTTGTACCCTTCTGGAATAGAAGCGTTGGAATGTATTTTCTCAGTACTCTAAAGGGTCATTTCTAAAGTACTTCTTCCTTAAGGACCATTTTTGGTGCATATTTATCATTTTTGAGGTTCAAAAACGGGGAATTTGTTTCCTCTATATAGTGAAATTAATAGGCAGTCTTAAAGATCATTTTATTTCGAATTTTTAGACTTTAAATTTCTTCAAATTGGCCACTACTGTTTTGTTTTTAATTTTAAATACCATGAAATGGTCGTTTCAGACTGAAAATGAAATATCTAATTAGTGTGGAAAATTCTTTCATGTTTTGAATAAATCTTTAATTGTAAGCGCAAAATAAGTAGCTCAGCCGCTTCAGGAATTGTGGTGACAAAGTTATCAAATATTGGAGGCATACTTATTCTGCTCATAACTGTTTATTTAAATAAATAATAAAATTATCATGGGGTTTTGGGGTTTTGGGGTTTTGGGGTTTTGGGG